CGTGAAGGGTGGGTCCTGAAACCTTATCCAATCAGAAGCATGGGATTAGAAACTGTCCAATCAGGTGTGCAGCTGGAGAGAACCGGACGCTTCCGTAATGTTGTGGGTCCTTTGTGTTGCTCTGTATCCAGAATTCCAGTTCTTCTCTTCACTGCTCTGCATCCTCTGTTCCTAGAGGCCAAGCCTCTGTGGCCGTGTGTCCTGCAGGTATTCGCAGATTATGGCTAAAAGACCGGGACCCCCTGGAAGCCCAGAAATGGTGAGTGCTGGGTCTGTCATTGTGAGAGAGGGATGGGGGCTGGTGGGAACGGGCTGAAAGTGGCTGTAGCTGGACCCAGACTTCCTCTCAGTCAGCTCCGAAGTCTGAGGACCCAAACCGAGGTCCCAAACCCTCGTTGGCCCAGCTCGGCTCTTAGTCCCCCAGAGCCCTAAGACGGTGCCTCGGCCAGCAGCTGGGACCCTGGGAGTTCTGTCTTTTTCCTCTGCCGTGGCTTTGCCCTGGACTGGAGCCCTCTCTGGGCAGCTCTGCACTCCCAGCGCCTCATCTCACCCAGATTGTGCAGGGATGGGAATGTCATCAGGGGGGAATCGTGACTCAGGGTGCAGGATTCATGAGCGGAAAGCACTGTGGTCCCTGGGATCCCTAGTTCCTCATTTTTCCTTTTAGAAATGTCTAGAAGTCACTGTCAAAATATTAGAAAATTAGATAAAAGTGTGATTCAAGAATCATAGCACGCCCAGCTACGGTTTGTGGGTTGTGGTCCATGGGAGAGACTTGAGGAAAGTCTGTTATAAGTTGCGTGATGAAGCAGACTCAATTCAATCATTGGTTTGGTACGGTTATGTAGTTTCCTTATTTGTAAGATCTAGGTGAAAATTTCTTAGTTGTGTCATCAGATTAATTGGCATTTTGTGGTTGACTAGGCTTGATTTATTTCTTCAATATAGTAATTTTCAAGAAATAAATAAATATATATATATATATATTTATATATTTTATTTTTTTTTTTGAGAGGGAGTCTTTCTCTGTCACCGAGGCTGGAGTGGAACGGCACGATCTCAGGCTCTGGAGTAGCTGAGATTACAGGTGCCCACCACCACGCTGGCCTATTTTTGTATTTTTAGTAGAGATGGGGTTTCACCATGTTGGCTAGGGCAGTCTTGAACTCATGACCTGAAGTGATCCGCCCACCTCATTCTCCTAAAGCGCTGGGATTATAGGGATGAGCCACTGCACCCAGCTATGACAGATGCACTTGAGTTAGATTTTGTTGTTGTTGTTGTTAGAACAACTCAGCAAAATAAAATTCCTGTTTATTGTTGGACAACATTGTTTCACACATACATCAAACAGGCCAAAAATAAATAAATAAATAAATAAACAGCAACTTCATAGACAAAAAAGGAAAAAAAGGAAACCTTTTAATCTTTGGCTTTTTAACCATCTCATACAAACCAACTACTTATAGTACAGCTAAGTACTTACACAGCAAAGGTACTGGAATGCTCGGAATACGATTGTTTTTCTGTTGTCGTTTTTGCTTTTTTTTACAAGGCTTTTTTTCTCCGTTGAGATTATTATGAACATGGTCACACCACAAGTAAAATCAGAAGTAGGACAGAGAACACTCTGAAGGCTGGTTTGGTCATCGGAGATCATTAAAAATGGCTAACCCTAACAATATGTACAAAAATATAAAACGTAAACTAAAAACACAAATTTCCGGCCGGGCTCGGTGGCTCACGCCTGTAATCCCAGCACTTTGGGAGGCCGAGGCGGGTGGATCACGAGGTCAAGAGATCAAGACCATCCTGGTCAACGTGGTGAAACCCCGTCTCCACTAAAACTACAAAAAATTAGCTGGGCATGGTGGCGCGTGCCTGTAATCCCAGCTACTCAGGAGGCTGAGGTAGGAGAATTGCCTGAACCCGGGAGGCGGAGGTTGCGGTGAGCTGAGATCGCGCCATTGCACTCCAGCCTGGGTAACAAGAGCGAAACTCCGTCTCAAAAAAAAAAAAAAAAAAAAAAAACCCCACACAAATTTCCTTTTTAAAGTACGTTTAAGAAAAAAAGCAGGGCCTTGGAAGTTTTGGCTGTTTTCCTCCCCTGTTGCAAATTCTCATGGTTTGGGTTGGGTGGTGAAACGCATGTGTCATCTGCAGGTGGCACTGCCCGTGGTGGGCGGGCGGGCTGGCCAGCCTCTCGAAGGTGACCACGTTTAGATTCTGAGATGGGAAGTGGAGGGTGAATAGGTCACGGCAGCCTTTTTTTGTTTGTTTGTTTTTAGTTTAACTTTTCCTTTTTTGCTGTCTAATCATCCTTGTCGGACTTCTGCTTGTTGATATTGACATCATCATCCTCATCATCTTCAGCCGCCAGCTTGCCCGTAGCAGACTCAGCTTCCTCATCTCCATCTCCATCCTCCTCCTCACCATCACCTTCTTCTTCCTCCTCGTCTTCCTCCTCACCTTCTTCCTCTACCTCGTTGTCAGCCTCCTGCTCCTCATTTTCCTCATTTGCATTCCCGTTAGCAGGGGCCTCTCTTCCATTTTCCACCTCTTTCACAACTTCCTTCTTTTCCTTCAAGTCCTTGGTGGTGATTTCGGAGCTGGTGTCTCTGGCTGTGTCTAACACGGTGGGGCACGCCGGTGATCCAATGCAGGGGATTAAAAAGAAAGCGCGAGTTCAGGGACTCTGGGGATAAGGCTGCTGGAGTCCACGACGGCGAAGGAAGCGCGCAGCGGAGGCCGCTGCAGCAAGCAAGGTGTCTGACGACAAGCAATGCAAAGATGCTTTTCAGAGCAGCCAGTGGGGGAATTTTTTTTTTTTTAAGTGAGAGCTGAGAACAATCAATCTACCTTAGTCTAATTGCCAGCTGTTTAAATATTTTACACTCCACAGGAAACTGGTTTTCCCTTGCAATTTTTTTTTTTTTTTTTTTTTGAGAGAGAGTGTCTGATCTGTCGCCCAGGCTGGAGTGCAGTGGTGCGATCTCAGCTCACTGCAGCCTCTCCTTCCTGGGTTCAAGTAATTCTTCTTCTGCCTCAGCCTCCTGAATGGCTGGGATTACAGGTGCCTGCCACCGTGCCCAGCTAATTTTTGTACTTTTAGTAAGGTGCCTGCCACCATGCCCAGCTAATTTTTGTACTTTTAGTAGAGACCGAGTTTTATCATATTGGCCAGGCTGGTCTCAAACTCCTGGCCTCAAGTGATCTACCTGTCTTTGCCTCTCAAAGTGCTGGCATTACAGGAATAAGGGATCACACTCAGCCTGCATTTTTCAACTGTGTCTTTTTTTTCCCCCCAGACCGAGTTTTGCTCTGTCACCAAGCCTGGAGTCCAGTGGTGCGACCTCGGCTTACTGCAATCTCCGACTCCTGGGTGCAAATTATTCTCTTGCCTCAGCCTCCTGGGTAGCTGGGATTACAAAGGCCCACCACCACACCTGGCTAGTTTTTGTATTTTTCATAGAGATGGAATTTTGCCATGTTGGCCAGGCTGGTCTCAAACTCCTGACCTCAGGTGATCCGCCCACTTGGCTTCCCAAATTGCTGGGATTACAGAGGTGAGCCACCACGCCCACTCTCAACTGTGTCTTACGCAGGGTCTTAAGTCAACCTCCCTGTTCTCACAGACTAACTCTGGCTTGCAGTAAAATATTAAATTTCCAGTTCCATCTGACATTCCCACATGCCAACTTTTCTTTGTAACTCACATTATTATCTATTTGTTCTTTCTTGTATGTTTCAGACACAGTACTTACATTATTATTTTTTTTTTTAAAAAAGGCATTGGATGACACTTAAAAGGCGCCATTCAATGCTTTGTGAAAAAAGTTCCCCGTTTGTAAATATTTCACATAAGAAAAAAGCAGAGGCCCAGCACGGTGACTCACGCCTATAATTCTAGCACTTTGGGAGGCCCAGGCGAGTGGATCACTTGCGGTCAGGAGTTGGAAACCAGTCTGGCCAACATGATGGAACTCCATCTCTACTAAAGATACAGAAAAATTAGCTGGGCGTCGTGGTGGGTGTCTGTAATCTCAGGTAGTCGGGAAGCTGAGGCAAGAGAATCGCTTGAACCCAGGAGACTGAGGTTGCAGTGAGCTGAGATTTCACCACTGCAATCTTAGCCTGGACAAAAGGGCAAGATTTCGTCTTAAAAAAAAAAAAAAAAAAAAGCAGAGAGTAATCCTCTGACACTACTGTAAAAAATTTCTGTGCTGCTTTTATCTTCTCCAAGCACAGACATCTTATCATAACGTCTGGGTTTCGTTTTTAGGGGGGAAACCTTACAGGGTAATGTCTCTTCAGCCACAGGTTAGTTTATTTTCTGGTTAGGGTCTTAATACTGCTTGGGGATAAATCAGGATACCCACCGTGGCCATGTCTGCTGGAGTGTCTAGTGAGTATCATTCCCTGAGTTATTTTCTTTCAGAAACCATCATTCTCAGCAAACTGACACAAGAGCAGAAAACCAAATACTGTATGTTATCACTCATAGGCGGGTGTTGAACAATTAGAACACGTGGACACAGGGAGGGGAGCATCACATACTTCGGTCAGCTGGGGGGTCTATGGGAGGGACAGCAGGGGGTGGGGAGGGATAATGAGGGGAGAAATACCAGATATAGGTGATGGGGGGTGATGGGGGATGAAGGCAGCAAACTACCTTGCCATGTATGTACCTATACAACAATCCTGCATGATCTGCACATGTACCCCAGGACCTAAAGTACAATAAAAAATAAATAACCAGCACTTTGGGAGGCCGAGGCGGGTGGATCACAAGGTCAAGAGATCGAGACCATCCTGGTAAACATGGTGAAACCCCGTCTCTACTAAAAATACAAAAAAATCAGCTGGGCATGGTGGCGCATGCCTGTAATCCCAGCTACTGAGGAGGCTGAGGCAGGAGAATTGCCTGAACCCAGGAGGCGGAGGTTGCGGTGAGCTGAGATCGCGCCATTGCACTCCAACCTGGGTAACAAGAGCGAAACTCCGTCTCAAAAATAAATAAATAAATAAATAAATAAAAAAGAAAACAACAAACGGTATGAAGTATAGCCTTTCAAGAGAGCAAATGGATTCCCTGGGGCTGAGAGCAATCTCCTACAAGAGTATACTTCCTATAAGGAAGTATAATCCCTTAGGACATTAGAATTGTCTTTACCCAACTCAGCTTCCATTTCATGGAGGCACATGGCTGGTTAGCCAATCAGATGCTAGTATTGAGGGAAAATCACAGAAGTAATTTCTGCCCTCTGGATTCTGTCAGATTTGTGAAGGGGGAAAAAAAACTGTCCCTAAAGACAAGAAAAACTTCCCCCAATAAGATGGTGCAAGAATCCCAAAGTAATTGCACCTGGGGAATTTAGTAAGGCACAGTGCAGCATCTCCTGGAATGGTTGTCATTGAACGTTTCAGTGAGCAGGACGCACATTAGAGACTCTCTCAAGTGATTAGATGGCTTGACTTGACACGAGTCAGACACATCTGTGTTCCAATCAGCACTATCACTCCCTGGGTTTGTCACCTTGAAAAGATATTTTCACTTCTTTTGACTTAAGTTAGTCAACTGTAAATTGCATTTTATCAGTAGAGCTCAATATGTAAGAAAATATTTATAAAAGGCACGAAAGAGGTGAGTTTCAGAAAAAAAATTTAGTCATGTATTCTATTTGTTACAAATTCATATTTACTCTTTTCTTTTTCAGAGTGAGTGTAGAAATTTTCTCAGGTGTGTTATTTTTTGGCTGCGTGATTTCAAACAGTACTCTAAGGTTTAGCTTTGGGAATATTACCAAGGGAAAGAATCTGGAAAATGTTTCTTCCATTATTGCTGTAGGAAATGAATACATTTGCACAAGAAAATGTGGTAGATAACTGGGGAATTACATAGATTCATCACAATGTTAATCTCTCTTTTTGGAAAATTAGTATGTAACAGTAAATGCCTCTGCCCTATATCTTGCTATCTTATTTTTATTTTTGAGATGAAGTCTCACTCTGTTGCCCAGGCTAGAGTCCAGTGGTGCAATCTCAGCTCACTGCAATCCCCGACTCCTGGGTTCAAGCAATTCTCCTGCCTCAGCCTCCTGGGTGGCTAGGAATACAGGTGCCTGCCACCACATTCAGCTAATTTTTGTATTTTTAGTAGAGATGGAGTTTTGCCATGTTGGCTAGGCTGGTCTCAAACTCCTGACTTCAGGTGATCCACTCACCTGGGCCTCTCAAGTGCTGGGATTGCTAAACCTTATGAGATGGGACTGGGCACCTTACAGAAGTTTGTTCATATTATTATTCACTGAATATCCTGTGATGGAAATAAGTAAATGTATTTATAAGTAAATGATAAAGTGAAAATATCTTTTCAAGGTGACAAGCCCAGGGAGTGGCAGTGCTGACTGGAACACAGACATGTCTGACTCACGTGTCAAGTCAAGCCGTTCATTACTTGAGAGAGTCTCTCACGTGCATCCTGCACACTGAAACGCTCAATGACAGCCATTCCAGGAGACACTGCACTGTGCCTTAGTGAGTTCCCCAGGTAGAAATAAGTAAATTGCATATTCTCTGAAAGAGATAGATACTTTTGTTTTTTCTCATTGAGCCATAAAATGTAAGCACCTTAAAATTTTTTTTCCCTTGTATAAACACTGCATTTCGGTAATTTTTCTGGATTTCTCTAATACTTACTTTCAAAAACTAAGTGACCATCTCTGACTTGGGAATTAAAGCCTGAGCCCTGTGACTCCAAGTTAAGGGCAATATGGAGCCTGCAAAGGGAGGTTGTTGAAGGCCTTGTCAGTTCTTTCTAGGGAGCCTCCCTGCAAATATCCCAGCCTGCTCACCCCAGCCATGGAAGAAGCCTTTATACTGATAAGCAACAGAGTCCAGAAAAGCTGGGGAGCCGCATGCAGATGCAGTTAGTGTTAGAATGGGTGGGAAATTGGGAGGATCTTACTGAAGGTAAAGGCGTTGCTGTTTTGGGGTAGTTTCTGGACTTTGTAAAATAAAACAAAGTCAGACTTGGGTAAGAAGTTCTGAATCCCAACAACAGAAAAAAAAGTACGAAGTATAAGAATTTTAAGGATATCAATGTTTAGGCAGACAAGGACTTTCTTTCACAGATAATAGCAAACAAGCTTAGAAAGAAGGTGGAATGAGAATAGCATGACAGAAGGAAGGGGGCAAAATTAGATTCTAGATCAGAGAATGTTTTACCCTGAAGTCAGCAGGTTCTTAAGGAGAGACAGAAAATGGGGTTGTATGTTGACTCAGACTGAGGGTAGCTCAAAGGTCAGGAGCCCTGGGAGAAGAGAAAAATTTAAGCAAAGTTGATTAAGAAGTATTTTGTTTTGACCACTGACGAAAAGTATTTAGCTGATTCTTTTATAAGAAAGAGGTGGACATTTGCAGTCTATGTCTGGCTATGTGATAAGAAAGAAAATACACCACCACCTAAGTCATCATGGGAAGACTGTTTCATTAAGCTGTTGCTGAAGACCCCAAAGGATGTAGAATTTTATTTTATTTTTTGAGACAGAGTCTTGCTCTGTCACCCAGGATGGAGGGCAGTGGCATGATGTCGGCTCACTGCGAGCTTCACCTCCTGGATTCAAGCGATTTTTCTGTCTCAGCCTCCCAAGTAGCTGGGATTACAGGCACCCACCACTGTGCCTG